GCTCATTCCCTGAAGATCCTGTTCTTTAAACGCCTGGATGAACAAAAGGTCCCCCGTGATTGGAAAATGGTTATGCGAGTCCCATCTTCAAGAAGGACGATCGTCACTCCACGAATAATTATATAGATCAGCGAGCCTGTGTCGAATAAATGGCCGCTAAGATTCAATGTCACGCAATGTAAGAGGATGCACCTGGGTCGTACCAACAGTAAGGAAGCGTACCTTATGTCCAAACAGGACGAAAAAATTGCATTATAAAGATCGAATGCGAAAAAGACGTGGGTGTGTTTGTTGACAATGAACTGAAGTTCTCGGGCCACTGTGAGAAGAAAGTAAACCAGGCAAATAAATTATTGGGTCTTATAAGAAGGTCGTTCAGATATCTAGATGGTCCGTCCCTCGTAACGATCTTCAGGAGTGAGGTTCTTCCCGGCTTGAAGTACTTTCAATTGATTGAAAATGTCCAAAGGAGGGTCACCAGACTGGTGTCTGCACTCCGGCACCTCAGTTATTCAGAGAGATTAGAGCGCCAGCAACTGCCTAGCGTATACTACAGACGGGCAGGGGGTGACCTTATTGAGGTATATAAACATCTCAAGGGGCACTACTCAGTCGAGTGTCTATACCTGGAGCTGGCGGACGCCTGCCCCACGAGGAGTCACAGCTCAAGGTTGAAGAAACCACAAGTCCAGAAAACTGTGAGGACAAACTTTTTCGGAGTGAGAATTGTAATCTCTTGGAACAATCTGCCAGATTGTGATGATGGCACCGAGTGTGAGCTGTGGTGCTTTTTCAAGACCAGACTTGACCAACACTGGGGCAGGTTCAGATATATTCAGGAGCCAGTGCAGGCCCACTACTTGCCAACAGTGTGTAACAAAGACGTAACCGCCCACCAAGCAGCTAACGAGCCGATCAGTGGCGAAAAAGATAAAAGTAAAGGTTTCAATCAGGTTAGGTTAGGTTTGGTCCTAACCCAACCTGACAAAAACATCAGTTTTACAAAACCAAAATTCTCACTCCACAAAATACACAAGCACACAGGTCACAAGAAGGGTACTGCAGGGCAGTGTATTGGGCCCGCTGATTGTTTGCTTCAAATGTTACATGCCTGACACTGTACTCTCCTCCATACAAATGTTTGCGGATGACGCCAAGTTACTTCGGGAAATTAAAAACCAAGCAGACTGTGAAGAGCTGCATTAGGATTTCTGAGCTCCAAGAATGGTCAAAGAAATGGTTACCAAGATTCAATGTCACTAAGTGCAAGAGGATGCACCTGGGACGTACCAATAAGGAGGCGTATCATATGTCCCAACGGGATGAAGATACTGCATTAATTGAGACAATGTGAAAAGGACCTAGGTGTGTATGTTGACAATGAGCCGATGCTCTTGGGCCATTTGCAAGGAAGTGGTAAATTAGGCAACTAAATTATAAGGTCATATAACGATCATGAAGAGTGAAGTGCTTCCCCATCTGGTCCCCGAGATATAATAGGGACTGTCAGTCGATTGAAAATCTCGAGAGGTCGTCCACCAGACTGGTGCCTGCACTATGGCACCTCGGCTACCCTGAGAGATTGGAGCGTCTGAACTTGCCTAGCTTATACTACAGACAGGCAAGGGGGGGACCTAATTGAAGTGTATAAGCATCTCAAGGGGCACTACTAAGTCGAGTGCCCTTACTTGGAGCTGGCGGACGCTCGCCCCACAAAGGATCACAGCTCAAGGTTGAAAAAGCAGCAAGCCCAGAAAACTGTGATAGGGGCATCTTTATTCTGAGGGAGTTGTGAACTCTTGGAACAATCTGCCAGTGTGTGTTGTGACAGCATCAAGTGTGAGCTCTATCAAAACTGGAGCAGTTCTATACATTTAGGAGCCAGTGCATGCCCAGTATCTGCCAACAATGAGTATCAGACGTGACTGATCACCCAAGCAGCTAACGAGCCGATCAGTGGTAAAGGGTTGAACAGAACTTGAGGTTGACTGTACAGTTACCCATAAAATTTCTGTCACCTCTTCTGGTGCTCCACGAACAGAGAGATTCAGTCTCATGAACTCGAAGCAGTAGACACTGAAGCACTGTTCTGTTCATAAATGCTTCGGATTCAAGAGTGAATCTTGGAGCAGCGGAAGAGACAATAGGACTTTTGTGGGTGACTGTACATCCAAAATTAACTACTGTAAGAATACAGTGAAAACAAAAAGTACAGGAATTTACACAAATTTAGCCTCCTAAATATCTGGCTCTTAATTAAAGTACAGTTTACCCATAAAGTGACCTAGATGTTAAGAATAACTGTCTGGCTACCAGAGAAGACATTGCTCACTGGCACTGTCAAAATGCCACCATGTCAGGTCATCTTCATATTGGCCTGTTTCCAGCAAGTTAAGTTTTTATAGTGTCTAGTAACATCTAGCAGGGTGACATTCGCATCATATTTAGTTTGTGTTAGAATTGGAGGAAGCAACTTGATAAGATTTGGGATGGTATATGGAATTAAAAGTGTGGGTTGTGGAGAAGGTTCTGGTTGTTTGTAATCTTGCAGTTCTTACATAGATAGTACAGTTTGCAGTTTGGGCAGTTAGTTTCCCTGTACAGCACACATTTATAGTGCTGAACTTTTGGTAGATACAGTATATTCGAAACCATCTCTGGCATTTAATTATATTTATGCCATGCCAACTTTTGGTTTTTAGGGGGTCCTTGAGTATTTTCAATATATCCTGAGGTTAAGGAAAATATGGGCATATTAACAATCAAAATGGAGTTACTTTAAGTTGCTGTACAAGCTCAGCTTGAAGTTGATATATGATTGTTAAGTTTACGGCAATGAAATGAGCAACATTGTGTCCATTCATTGGGCTTCACTAACTAGTAGCCAAAAATGAATTTTCCGAGATTCTAGGATCATCAGGAGATAACAGTGCTCCCACAGAATGCCATGTAGAGTTGCAGTTTTAGACACGCAATGTTAACTATTTTTCTTAACTTTTGTGATAGAACATTAATATCAATCTGCTTTACTCTAGAAACTTTATAAATTTGTATTTTGTAGCCGATGAATTACTAACTGGGGTAATTATTGCGTGAATTTGTGCAAACTATTGAAATACACCATCACTGAAAAAATTAAATTACAAAATGGTTGGAGGTGTGAAGATATTGATCCAGGAAGACCATTTTTTAGTCTATTTAAGCTGTGCAAATTTGACGAGCATATTCGCTGTTTAAATTTAGGGCTTACTATACTTGCCCTTACATTTTTTTTACCTTTATCCTCATCACCTCTGATCAGCTCATTTGCTGCTTGGGCAATAGGTTGCATCTGACATGCACTGGCTCCCAAATACAACTTAACCTGCTCCAGCCTGGTCTTGAAATGGCTAGCACACCATGCCGTCACAATACTCTTGCAGGTTGTTCCAATACTGTAGTTTACAATTCATTGAAAAAGTTTGCCCTCAGTTTTCTGGACTTTGTGCTTCAACCATGACCTGCGACCCCTTGTGGGGGCGGGTGTCCGCCTTTTCCAGGTTTGGACACTCGGCCGAGTAGCGCCATCAGAGAAGTTAATACACCTCAATTAGGTCGCCCCTTTCGTGTCTAGTATAAGCTAGACAGTTACATGCACCTCAATCTCTTAGGTTAGCCGAGGCACAGTAGTGAAGGCAAGGGTCTGACGGCCCTCCATTGGACATTTTCAATCAACACAGTCCCTAGCCTATCACAGGGACCAGACAGGTGACCTTACTCCAAGCAGGGAAGCACCTCACCTCACTAGATATCCGAAAGACCTCATGTATCCTGGTTTCTTAAAACGATATATACAGTTATCAGTAATCAAAAGCCAAATGAAAGTTTAACACTTGTCATTTACAATCATCTGCCAAGTTCTAAAACAGATTTGCTAGGTCTTGCCATTTCCTCAGATATGTCATGGAAGCCACACATTAATTGGTTGCTAATAAGAGGTCTGTTTAAGGATGTTGGAAGATTCTCAACAATTCCATAATTTTATGAGCATGTCAGCAGTTCAAGTAGAAGTGTTGATGAAATTGGTCGAATCATTAATTTTTGCGACACTGAAGAGGGAAGCCATTCTAGTGGACGAGAGGGTAATGTCACGCCTCCGTTTTTGGCATCGGGCAAGTAGAAAAAACAAAATTAGTCACTCAAAAGACCTGTCAAATGCCAATATATAGTATTGGTGTTAAAGTTGTCAAATAACTTGCACCGACTGCATCAATTAATACATTGCCAATTCATTTTCAATAATCCAAATACCATACTAGTTAGAAGCAAAACACCCATAAAACCACTACCATCGCCATCTGTTGGCCTTGAAGACTACTTTTCAGTGACTATGCTTGCCATTATAATTATACCTATAGATACTGTATATTGAGATTACCATTTAAATTCATGCTTCACCTTTTGAGAGCACTGTCTGACTGCGAACTTGGTTCGCATAGCCTAGTTACCAGGCGAGTTGTGGACTAGCATGTGTCCACAAGATGGCGAACTTGCAGACAGTAGCTGTCCGACAATAGACACTATCTCTCAACTAGCTCTAGTTTGGCACCCAACAAGGATCCAGCTTCATCTATATTAGTCACCAAGTTTATCTTTCCCTCATTTACTTTGGTTATGCAGTCAGAGCAGTAACAACAACGATGTCCCTTTTCTTGTCGATACAAGATGACAATGGACGATCAATTCTAATGTGTGAATCCTTGAAAACAGAACCAAAACTGCTGCACACTATATCCAAACACATTGGACCAAGGTGGCCAGATAGTTTTTTTTTTTGTACTATACAAGATTCATGAGGCCCAATGGCAATAGGATAGCAATGGAAGCAGGGTCATAAGAGAACTTTACTCCTGACATCACCATATTTATGCATTATTTGAAGCACTTCAGTACTCCAATTTGCAAATTCAAGATGTTCCAGACTAGTATGCAGTACTCATAACAGGTAAACTAAAAAAAACTCTTGAATCATAAATATATTGTTTAAACTGCAGTACATTAATTTAAAATAGAGACATGTTATGGCTATTCCAGCAGGCTGTATGGCTTGATACCCTTTATCTTGGCCCTCAGAACCAACACTCCTGGTGGGTACCAGATGGATACCACTACGTAGGTGCCACTGTGTATCTTCACAATAGCAAGTGCATAGGCATCTTTAATTAATATGGTCTGGTACAGTCTGAAGCCCTGAAAAAGAATGTGGGTGTTAATAGCATAACTTTTAAAATCAAAAGCACAGTTGATAATACATAAAAACACCAAGTTTTGTTTGATCTTGGCAGTTCCCACAAATCTCCTAGACCCAAAATGTTCAAGTTTTTTTTTACCTCCAGCATTTCTCAATGGGTTGTTTCTGACTGGAGCAAAGCTCCTGGGAGTAAATTTTTTACCTCGGTATTTCAAAGAATTTGTAGACCCCAGATTATTTCTTACAAATTTGTTTCCGATCCCCGTGTACAGTACTTTATACTTCAACTTGCCTCTGGATGGTGATATTTATACACATGTAAAGTTCCCTTTTCTGAGAGCAGCAACAAGTAGAGTGTGCAGTCTACTATGAAGGTCACTTGGTCCACCACACCAAAGGATGGAAGACATTCAAACTCCTCGAAGTTCTCAGTCTCTTCATTGTATCGGAATATCTGTTGGTTTAATTGGTCATACTTTTACTGTACTAGAATTGCTAAATCAATGGTACCTATTATTAAGGCACTTTCAATTTGACTTCCCATAATTATTGACAGTAAATTAAAAACACTTACCAATACTTTTGTGGTATATTTGAGATTATCTTCAAGTACTGGGAAGTCTGCTGCCTTAAGCTGTGCCAAAGAAATGAAGTTCTCTTCAACAGGTAGAGGAGATTTGATGAAAATTCCAGTCGTAACATAATCAGCGAGGTACTCTCCCTTTAGTTGGAACTGAAAGAAGGCATATATTTAAAAATTTTGTTCAATACACTTTTTATTGCAAATGTCAGTACAAATTCCAAACATGCCCACCTCCCTTTTACCACTCTTCCACACGTAGAGTTCAGAAGTAGCTCTATATGGATCCACCACATTGTCACTTCGGAACTCGTTTGCAACCAACAAGTACCACATTCCCTTTATCTGCAAAATAATCAATAAATTAGTCAGTGCAACTTTTCACATGGAGGTTTTGCATCCACAGTAATTAAATGGAATAGAAAATTTTAATCTACCTTTTTGTGGAAAATTCAACCACCCCAACAATACTGCAAGATCTTCCACTGTATAATCAGCAGCAGTACCGTAAACAAATATTAACAAAGGTGCAGAAACTAAAAACTAAAATTAAGAAAAACAAAAACACCAATGGGCAAAGTCATTCATAGGGCTTCAAATGGAGACAGTCTCCTGGAAAAATAATTAAAACTTTTCCTGTGTATTGTACTGGCCCAGTTCAGAAATTGTTGCATTGGTGTGTTTTGTATTAAACAAATGAAAAGTAAGAATCCTTAAGTTAAATGCCAATAATTGTCAAGAGTAACATTATGTACCAGTAATGAAACCTTTTCCAACCAATTCCCTAAATATTGGTAAGGATGGAGGAGTATTGGAATACTGTACAATAGTTTGAATGGTGGGGCTGAGCTCTTGTATTTGCAATGCAAGGGGTCCAGCTACCTTCCTAGCTACACAAAACCAGTTTTTTTTTTACCATATCAAGTTAATGCCCCCCCATCTGCTTTCTTCAAATAAATCTTGTTTACAGTTTACAATGTTAAGTGGCACAAAAATTCCAGTTAGAAAATCTGTACCTTATTTCACTCAAGTGTACCTAAACAAGGATTAGTGTATTCACGTGTTATTTTAATATAAAAAAGAAAGCTAGTTTCTAATTTTTGCAAAAACAATTTAACAGAATGAAGTAAACTTACCAAAGTCAAATCTAATTTGGAAGCACTGGAGTGGGTTTCCTTAGACCAGGCAACGACCACTTGTCGTAGGGTCAGGTCAACCATTATTGTGTGTATAATTGTTGTTCCCACCACATTTGAGGCTGCAAAATAGTAATATTAGCCAATTTCAATAAATTTTATTGGTTAATAAGTAGTCCTATCAAAAGGATAAACTAATTCAAGCCTAACCTCAATTATCCATGATGCTCAAGACCAAGTCTGAGTTTCAAACTGAATACAGTACAGAATTCTCAATGGCATAAGCAAATCTGACAATGCCAGATTAAAAATAAAAATACTTTTGTTTTTGGTGCATTACTGTCTGCCAAGAATATATGTGTGTGTGTGTGTGTGTGTGTGTAATGGTCAGCATCCTCGGCTCACAAGAGCAGACCCTGGTTCGCTCCCCAGGCAGGGAGGAACTATGGGCAAGTTTCTTTATGCCATTTGCCTCTCTACCCGGCAATACTTGGGAACCAGAATATGAATCCATTTGCGAATTGTGTTGGGGGATGGTTAGCCAGTGCAGTTGGTAGTTGTCCCGTACTTTTGGACTATTCCCGACACTGAGTCATGCAGCTCGTTAACTCGAGGTGTGGTTTGTGTTGGCAACAGCAGCTACACTTTAAATATATTCACGCCCAAGTGGCCCTTGGGCCGGCCATCCTCGCTAAACGAGGGGGCAACCATTACACATATATTGGGACAATACATTAATTACCATATGGTAGTATATCTACAATAAGTTAATTGCTTTTAGACAAAACCTTTATAAAAACTTACCATGGTCAAGGCCAGCCACAGTTACAATGTATGCAATTCCATTATCAACAAACATTCCAGCATCAGTCACTACACCTATGTTTACAGTGGCTGTGATGATATTCATTTGGGGCTTTGTAGTAGTGTCAACTGTGATGAAGGTTGGGATTCCATCTGTACACCTGTAATGAAGAAGTACTGAATATTTCCATGATCATTAATACTCGCCTGTCTCCCCTTAAGCCAAATCTATATTTGTCTATTACCTTTAGTTTTCTCCCACTTAAGCAGGAGATGAAGACAGAAGCCAAGAATGGGTGGAAACTCAGAGGCAAGGGCAAGACCCAACTGTTGGGGTGCATTTACAGGAGGCATGTTACTAGGTACCAGTGCTGACTGGTCTGTCCACTAGCCCCTTATAAGCATTGCATCAATGGCTCCACTAGCCACAAGTAACTCACCCCTAGCAGACTAGTGGACTTCCACTGGACTGAAAATTGGTAGTCTCAACTTTTCAGTCACTAATGGGATGCACATGGGTTAAAGCACCTGCCCTTTTTGTTTCCATGTCAAAAGTTGAAAATTTAAGTGCCATCAGTCTGCCCCTGACTGCATTATATTACAGTAGTACAGTATTTTGATTACTTTGAAATACAAAATTAAAAAGAAAATAAGCAGTTGTCGAATGTATTTATTTCGGTTCCAACACCGACTCGGCGGCTCACGCGCACGCACAGATGCACTCTTGCCCCAACCTGGGGCAACGTGCCCATTGAGCTAGGGTGGGCATGTCCCCCAATTTACTAGAGTATAACAATATGATAAGTGCCGAAAAATCAAACGAGCTGAAAAATAGAGCTTTCAAAAAGTAATTGTTCCTAAATAAATATACTGTACAGTATTTTATATTATAACCTAATATATTAGTGTAATTTGTAGTACAGTAGATAAAAATACTTTGTTTAATGAATTGAAAAAGCAATTCCAGAGAGGCGAGAAAATATTTTAGACCCACAGTAGCCCAGGGTTTACTGGTCAGACTAGTCATGCTGACCTTGTTACTCAGGAAAATTTATTTTTCTTCTATCCTCTTCGCCACAGATCGACTTGTTAGCCACATGGGTGATCAGTCACGTCTGCTACACTTGTTAATGTGTACTGGCTTCAGCATGTATCTGTACCCGAGTTGGTCAAGCTGTAGACTTCCCTTTATTATGGCTTAATTATGGATATCCATTACCTTTTTAGACTGAAAATTTAGCATAATTACCCAACAAACGCTGGCAATTTTTTCTATACAAATTGCTTCTTCCTAAACAGCAGCTAAAGTATGGATATTATCTTCTTCCTACCACTAATAAAAAATTTATGAGACTAGCTAAGTTGCAACCATGTTTTACATGGTTAGGCTGCAGTATGCAGGGGTCCCCAAGTTACAAATGAGTTCCGTTCCAGAGGGCTTTAAGTCGGAACACATACCCTATGTGTAATATATCATAGCCCAAGTCCTTTTATACCTCTTGAATCCCTTAACCGAGAAGAAATTGAATGAAATACAGTACAGTAAAGGAAAGTAAAAATTAAGTTTAACACTTGCATTAAAACCTGGGGCTGGCTGATCTTCCACCCATATTACTAACAATTTTTCCATTTCAATTAACAATCCACTTTGATTTGTTATCACAGTTAACTGCATTGGTGTAGATCCTTTAACATGCACAAGAATTTTCCGTTTTTTTTTTTTTTTCGAAAATTATTCCAACGGTTAACCGACTGAAGCCCAATGCTTTACCAATGACAGAGGGGGTGTTATGCCTTTTTCAGAAGGTTTAATTATATCAACTTCCACTTCCATACAAATTGTTTTCCTTTTCTAGGATGCACTACTACCATTTACATCAGGTTTGCATTTGGGAGCCATGATGAAGGCAGAAAAATTAATGTTAATAAGCAAAAAACAGGTTTGTACTAACACGTTAATTAGGCGAGGGCAAGGTGTACCAACGCTCTTTCAAGACGTGTGGCTGGGCGATGCATTACTCCCCACCTGCCACACCGCCTCGACACTACGCAAACTTTTTCTACATTAATACTACGAACCATTTGTACCTGTCGTATTCTTAAATAACGGACCTTAAGGGACCTCATTAGTATCAGCGGGTGTTCATAAGTTGGAGGTTCACATCTCCGAGAGACCTCCTGTACTATAATTCTTAAGGGGCGTTCGTATATAAAATCTGTTCTAACCAAAATGAAACATTTGAACAAAACCTGATCAGAACATTTGAAACGAGAAAAACTTAAAAATAAATAAATTGAGTAAAACATGTAATGCTCCGACTTGACTTGTGCTCAATAATAGCAGCAAACGCAAAGTATCCTGCTGGATTCCAACAGTAGAGTAACCCAACGTTGTGCCCTTACCAAAAGTCATGTATACATTTAGTTAAAAATACTTTTACAAATGTCACAAATCTGTTATCCTACCTGGTACACATTAATGAAAATTAGTGGGCTGGCAAATTTTATGCGCACTTATCGGATGTGATGCTAGGTAGCCAATCTTCAGTCATTGTAACTACCTATGATTATTTTGCCTAAGCCAAAATTATACTGCATAATGAAAACATTTATATTTTTACTACACAGCTGACATTTAGCTAACACAGACAAACCTTTGTTTTGATTGTTATGCTAGCCTTGATGTTAATTAGCAGCTTTGGTTGACAAAAAAATTTTACATCTTTTTATTTCAAATTCACTTGAATGCCAAGCTGTAGCCTCTAGTATTACTGTTGTGCATACAGGGAACCCCAGGTTATGGGATGGGTTCATTTCCCATGGACGTTCTTAAGTCAGAATTGCACTAGTGTCTGAACACGTGCTATGTGCATACAGTACTTTGAAAACGGTTTAAAATCACACTATATCATAGCTTAAATCCTTATATACATCTAAAATCACTTAAAACTAAACAAGAAATAGAATGACAAAGTACAGTAAATGAAAGTATAAAATAAGTTCAGGCAAATAAAATGCTATAAATTTAAATTCCAATCCCATTCATGTTGGCGGGCTTTCGTAAATCTGACTTTCCAAGTAGGGGGACCCCCTGTATGTGCACATTATTAATAATCAAGAGCAAAGGGGGGGGGGGGGGTTTGCCCACTTTTTTACAGTTAAGCACCTGCCCTCCTGAAAGTCTGCATAGATCTGGCTAGAGAAGCAGGCAGTTGTAATTAGCGGTGCTGGATGTTCCACTCTAAATCCTGTTCAGTTCAGTTTGAAATTGATCATATTAGTCATGTTACTATGTTTACAGGTCCTGATTATTATTTAATACAGTAATCCTCTCCAGATCTTCAACCGCTAGTTCATTTAGAACAGTAGTTGCAGCACCAAGTTGCTCCTTTTTTCAATCCACTTTCCCCCCTCCCCCCACACTCCTTTTCTATTTATTCCTTAAAATTTCAACAAGAAAACTGGTGGACATCATGAGGAGTTACCTGTAAGGCATCCTGGTGCCAACCCTCATTACTCAGATGGTACAGCTATTCCTACAAACTTATTTGCTGGTTTACATTTTCTCAAGTCCATTTTGATGTGCTTACTGAATAGAGCTAATATAATGGCTATAAGGGCCAAAACCTGCTTTTGACATTTTATGGAGAGGAATATAAAAAAGCTGAACAGCAGCACTAAGGGCAGGAGTACAGTATAGGTGCCACATGTCCATAGCCACTACTAAGCTAGTGTTGGCATGCAAAGGCTTGGCTCCTGTGCTTGCATACCAGTGACAAGCCTCATGCAAATACATCCTTATGGTGTGAAACGAGCAGAAATTATCCACACCCTTACACAGTATCCCACCTTATGTAAATGTACAAAGCGAGACAAAATAAATTAAAATGCATATTAATCTCTCAACATCCAATTCAAGTTTTTAGGCTCAAAGCTTAACCAACTTATTCTAGGTTACTTTAAACTTTGTACAGTATTTTCCATTATAAATTTGGTGGATAAAGGTAGACATTTACGCCCGTATTATTGAACAGCATCTTCCCTTTAAGAGGGTCATTGTGTTTCAACCCGACTATTAAACTGAAGGAGTCTTGAGGGACACCACAGTACAGTACTTCACAGGGTGGTGTGGCGGTAAAATTAATTCCAATATTATATATTAATTTTATTGGAATTGGTTAATTTTACCTCCACACCACTAAGTACAGTACTGTGGTGTCCCTCAGGACTCCGTTTAAAAATCGGGTTGAAACACGACGACCCTCTTCAAGGGAAGATGTTCAATAATACGGGCATTAATCTTGTATAGAACTACTGTATTTGTCCCTACTGCAATTACTGTACTGTAAATAGGATTCTCAGCGGAAAGTATGGGAGTTATTCGAGATATGGACACATTGGCAGGTTTTTTTTTTAATGCGTTTTAGATCCTCTATGCCGTGATTTTTAGATTTTATTAAAAAAATATGGGTATCTAGTGTCCTTTAAACTTTAATTTGATATAATTTGGGTATGTTCTAAAACAACAACACTAAAAATTACCTTCTGTTCAAAGTTATCTGAAGCTTCTCTGTAGTATGGTGGAGTATGAAAACTGCACCAGAGGAGTGCAAGGTAGGCTCACCAGCTATCCCAGCATCTTCGTTAACCTTTAAAGATATAGAAATATTTCTTGGACTTCTCGTATTTTCAAGATGTCCATTCTATTGAGAATGAAAATGGATTGTCCACAAAATAAAAAAATTTTAAGCTTAATTATAGGCAAAGAAAAGTACCATTGATTTTAATCATTAAGCTATTAGTTAATAAAGTTCTACAGTGATCCCTGTTAACGCGCGCCTCGGTTAACGATTTACCTTCCACAAGATTCTTAACTTCGGTTAACAAGCAATCCCTCGATTAACGAGTTTTTTACGAGCCGACTTCAACATTTTTTTCGCTTGCATTTGGCGGTCCACCAGCTGTAGTATTAGTCTGCCAATACAGTAATCGGTTTTAGGGCTTAAATTCCTTACTATTTTAGTAAATATCAAGAAGTTTATACTATTCAATAATTTTAAAAGTTTAATATTAACTTTTTTAGTCATTTTAACAATTATTGAACATAATTAAATGTAAAGAAACTAGTTTCTGGAGTGCCATCCAGCTTGTTAACACACCAGACATGAGTTAGTCTCTCTGTTTTCAGTGGATGTAACATCTTGCTTGACTCTTCAACTAAACACTTTTTCTGTGTTTCCAAGCAAATTATTGGTCACTGAAATTTATTTTACATATTGACAATATATAATGCAGTGCAGTGTTGATTTAAAGAAAATCTTGAATTACACCAAGAGAACTAAAATTTTATGGGCGAAATGGTGCCATGGGGTGACTTCTCTAACACCCCAATGCCTTCCCTTCTCCTCCACCCCCATTCTAATTCCCATCATCATCCAGGAGCCTTCTACATACACACCTTAAAGTAAGTGTACTTTCCTACCTTTTTTGTTGAATTTAGGCAATTTTCGGTGAGCTGGAACCAATTACCCAAAAACCCATTGAAACAATGGTTTCAGTTAAAGAGTTTTTCTGTTAACGAGCAACCTGCTGGAAGCGATTGTGCTCGTTAACCGAGGGATCACTGTATTTCAAACCAGAAGTAGTTTATTTATCCTCTAATTGGGACTTCAAACCTGGAAAAAGGAAGTTGCAGGAGTACAACAGAGGCAGGGACCGCCACGACTTCTGACACTAAGATAGCCGAGTGACTCGAGGTTATGGTTCACTCCAAACCACAGATGGCCAGCATGTGGCAGTATAATGAATTCCAGTTTCTCAAGGTAAGCCAGTTCAAATATTCTTTCTGGAAGAGAAAAAAACCAGTTTGCAATAAAGTCCAGAATGTGACATCTAGTTTTATACCTATGTATGTAAATGCCTAGCATTAACTCGCCAGGCCAACATACAGGCAATTAAAACCCCTAATAAATACTTATTACATAATAGGACACGTCACTACCTGGCAGTTAATAGCCATTCTCAAAACACCCTCCACCATACGCATCGCTCCGTCATCTCTTACCCTAGAGCGAGCAGTAAACAAATGTCAACTCAAGGTCGAGACAGGTGGGATGTAGACGTCGCATTCTGGACTTTACAGCTTTTTGTACAATGCAGAATGTGACCTCTAGCCTTGATTACCCAAGCAGAAGATGGTGACATTGCATATTAGGCTCCGCTAGCTTAGTTCCAGATTCTAATTATAAACTTTTTTGGAATACTGTATTTTCCAACATTAGGAACATTTACCAGAAAAAATAAAATGTTCATTAACATACTTCAATTAGGATACTCGCTATTATGATGAAGGTCCTGGTTGTGGAGATTAACTAGGTGGGGGGACCCCAGTACCACCATATGTGAAGCATTTTTCAGAGATCGATGAAAACTGCTAATTTGAAAGGTTGAATATTTCCAAAAGCCCACTTTTAATCTGACTGAGGCTCATATGCCACAAATAGGCCACAGACCCTGCACATTTCCTGGAGTCATGTGCCAAAAATTTCTTGCCAGGGTCTGCTCAACTCACTAACCGAGATGCATATTTTGTCATTTGACCAAGACAATTTCTTCCCATCCTGTGACGAGAATACACATAAGAGCCTCAATCATGGAATCTGGTTAACCATTCTTGAAGATTCTTAACTGAACGCTATATACGAGGAACCCTGGTCTCATCCATTAGCCACTTTATCCCAATGGGTTGTGAGCTTGAAAATCCTTCATATTTTTTATAAGCTCCATACTAAAAAGCATGACCTCTTCCTCAGAAAATACCAATAATGATGGAATTTGAAATCGGCTTGCCAATTCTCATACCTGTTGCTATAAGGAAGACTGCCTTCTGGAGCAATCTGTCCTGGTTCAGATTTATATTTTATTAGGCCCCCATAAGACATTTAGTAACTTTATCGGGAGACCAAGGTGGGGTTCCCATAGGGCGAAGGGGTTTCTGAATGAAAAAGGACGATCTGAGCATTTGATAAATTCTTTGGTTCAAAGTAATATTAAAACCCCACACCAGTGCCAAGATGCATAAATATCAAATACACCCCTGTAAAATAAAATCCTCGTGGCACTTAATATTTCAGCTATTACAACACAAATTAGCAGAGCCTGCTTTGTCTGTTCACAGCCAATTCGCTGGGCAAGAGATGACGGGGGCAGCGTATGATGGAGGATGCAGGAGGGGGTTTTGAGAATTGCAATTAAATGCCAGGTAGCGACATGTCCTCATATTAAGTATCAAGTAATTATTAGACGTTTTAATGGCCTGTATGTTGGCCTGGCAAGTTAATGCTAGACATTTACATTCGTAGGTATAAAGCTAGACATAGCATTCTGGATTGAACAAAAACTGTTCAATGAAAACTTTCCATTTTGTGAAATTCCAACCAATACAATGAAGCCAAGCAAGGTCAACATTACTTTAAAGTTCATAAAAAAAATACATTGGTAGAATGTGCTATATACTGATTAATTGGGAACAAGGTATATGAAGAGGAAGACTGGCAAATGAAGTCAGGAAGAGGAATGAAGAGGAAAACCAAAGCAAAATGATGCCTTAGAAGAGCCTGGCTAATGGGGAACAGTAAGATGCATCCAAGCAGCTGATCAGTGGTGAAGAGGATAAAAGTACTAATGGGGAACAGTAATATGCATCCAAGCAGCTGATCAGTGGTGAAGAGGATAAAAGCTGATCAGTGGTGAATGATAAAAGTACTAATGGGGAACAGTAAGATGCATGATCAGTGGTGAAGAGGATAAAAGTACTAATGCAGCATGCAGCTGATCAGTGGTGAAGAGGATAAAAGTACTAATGGGGACCAGTAAGATGCATCCAAGCAGCTGATCAGTGGTGAAGAGGATAAAAGTACTAATGGGGAACAGTAAGATACATCCAAGCAGCTGATCAGTGGTGAAGAGGATAAAAGTACTAATGGGGAACAGTAAGATACATCCAAGCAGCTGATCAGTGGTGAAGAGGATAAAAGTACTAATGGGGAACAGTAAGATGCATCCAAGCAGCTGATCAGTGGTGAAGAGGATAAAAGTACTAATGGGGAACAGTAAGATACATCCAAGCAGCTGATCAGTGGTGAAGAGGATAAAAGTACTAATGGGGAACAGTAAGATACATCCAAGCAGCTGATCAGTGGTGAAGAGGATAAAAGTACTAATGGGGAACAGTAAGATACATCCACGCAGCTGATCAGTGGTGAAGAGGATAAAAGTAGAGACTGCATGGAATATGTTCGTGTTCACAGGGAGAGTGGGGACAGCTTTAGTGCAGGTCCTTTTGATCTTATGCTCAATAAGTACCCCTTTTAGCCTCAAGTGCTCTAGGTCGTAAGGGTTGGATTTGAAGAATGATATGCTAAATAAATTTCCCTTCAAACTCCAGATGAAGCATGGTTTAGAACATTCCTCTGGGGGCAGAAGTTACAGGATATGGTTTTTCTTGATCTGAGAAACAAACCCCTTTAATATTGTGTAGATACCACTGTACCAATGCATATAAAACAAATTGGGGAATGCAGAATTTTATATTATTGGATAAAAGTAGCCAACTATTTTCAATATAATTTGCATACTTACCAGTGGGAAGGTTGGTCACTCTGAAGGAAGCCAAAAGGGAACGTAATCTATCAATACGCTGATATTGTTCATCTATGATTCTCTTTAGTGGTGACAAATTGTAATTCAGTTCTGACAAGTCAAAACCATTAACTGTGTGGACCACCACCACCGACTTTCTTGCCCTTACCACATACTCAAATGTCTGAAAACATTTAGGATTTGTGGTAAAATTGTTTTAGATAAACTTAACTTGTCAACTCAAATGAGGATTTGACCTTAACAGTATCCATTTTTTTAGAACCATTTTAATGTAGTTAGAAAAACATTCCTAGGTGCTTACTCACCACTACTCCAGCAATGGTCGCATCTTTATCCTTCCTCACTATGGTATTATTAATCTGTAGGATGTCCAGACCATTCAATAGTACTGTCTGTATTTTCCCCAAGACGTGAAGACCACCTGTTAGGATCTTGTGACCAGTTATCTCCTGTGATGCCCTGCCATACTTCACCACCAGGTTCGACACAACCACATCATTAATCTGTTCCACCTCCAAGTCACCTGAGGAAAAAGCATAAACAATTATGAAATACACTACAGTACAGTGGTCCCTCGATTAACGAACGGTCCAATTGACGAAATTTCTGTTAACGAATTAGCTCCCATAAGGATTTTCAATTCCAGTAGCGAAAGCCTTACGAGAAACGCACTTTGTTGTGCGCATCAGCTGATCGGCCAATACAGTAATTGGTTCTATGTTTACATTCGTTTCCAGTGGAGTAAATATCAAGAAAGTTATGCTCTAATATTTTTGCATTTTTTATATTAAAATTATTGGTCTTTCTAATTTAGTTAACATTGACAATATATGCAGTACAGGGAACAGATTTTGTGCACCCATCAGCTGATCGAATCACCCACCAACACTTCAGTTTAACTTTGTTTACAGTGGAGTGAACATCAAGTTTGTTGGTCTAATAATTATGCCTGTTTACATTAAAATTATTGGTCATTCTGAAATTTATTTCACATAATATACAATGCAGAAATTATCTTGAAACATGAAGGCATTAGAACCAATGCACTCTGTAAAGAATATGGCACGTCATCATCAACTGCCTCTACAATCAGCCGTTTGATATGTAAACAAAGCTGACTGGAATATATAACACCTCAAAGCAAGTTAAAATAATATTCTATTGCTTTTTAAATATTATTACAGTATACTGTACATTACTGTATTTAGTTTATATTTAATGTTTTGTTAATTTTATTACTGGTATACAGTACTTTGTATACTTTTTCTGTGAGTTGGAACCAATTACCCAATATCCCATTGAAATAATAAGATTGTTAAACGACTGGGTTCATTAATGGAGGGACCACTGTACAGTTGGTCCTCATATTACGCGGTCCTGCATTCCGCGTTTCACAGTTAACGTGGTGCCTTGCCAGAACCTAACATTTTCACATTCCGCGGTCGTGAACCCCATTACGCGGAGAGCGGCTGGCAAGCCGCGCCATTTTTGGATCCAAACCTCCCGCCATCCGCCATGTTGTGCGCACAAGGTCGCCCAGTCATCAAAACATGACCAGTTCTTCACCCGCCACCCACTACAGCCGGCCCAAGTCAGTGATAGTGATAATTATAGTGAGAATATGGACTTATATGAACTTTGGGGGGTTTGACAAAGAGGCCCTGCAAGCCTCTGTGGTGGATAGTGATACAATTGATACAAGTGATACAGGTGAGGGCCAATAATCTGCCCTCTGCCTCGGAACCAACCGCCCATCCCCGTGTGCCCAGCCATCTTTTCTACTAATGTAAGTGTTAAAAAACCTAATATTATTGACATTTCTCTTAATTATTAATTTTGTGTGCATGCCATCATAAAGTTAAGATAATATTTTTACTACAACATAGTTGTGTGTCGTCAAAAAGTGGAGTTAGAGATCGGCCCGGACTCCATTTCAATTAATCCCACATGTTATGTTATTCACTTTACGCGTTTCTCACTTTCCGCGGTACCCTCCGGGTTACATTAACCGCGTAATATGAGGACCAACTGTACTATGCTTGCAGGCTTTGATTCCTTGCTTGGCACTTAGGTGAAAAACAATGTTTATGGGGATGTGTACCTTCAACTCTGATGGCTTCAAATCTCCAGTTGCCATAGAAAGTTTGGTTTTGATCGAGTGTCATCCTGGTGGTGAACAAGTGTGCCAGATCTACACCATCCACCAAGCCAGACACCTGCAGAACATAACACCAAAATTAACGAATACATGTAACTATTTAATTTCTACCAAACGTAACGTTCATCAAAAAAATTACTTGGGAGGATAACTCAAGAGGCCAGGAGGAGGCAACTACTGACTTCAGCTGTACCAATGGAATTATTTCTACAAGCATAAAGTTTTGATCTGACAAAGCAAAGACGCATCAAATTATAATGGAAGAGTTGACGGTCTGAATTTTTTTTGCAAGATGGCAGATCAATAGATAAAGAAAAACTTAATTCACTATGGTCATGATATTTTTAAAATAAATTGGGACAGTTTCAAAAATAAGGGTTAAAGTTGCTAAAAAGTCAGGTGACTGCAAAGAGCTCAGATTGGTTGTGACACCACTGGTTGGTGCAAGCTTCCCAGCAGGAGGCAGCCAGCTGCAGTTGTCCAACCTTTTCGGTTGCTCGGCTCTGATAAATAGATAATTAATTGTGCTTTACTGTGCAACACAGCAACGCCAATTGGAATATATAAATATTACTAAGCACATACTAATTCAATCGATATTAGTTGCCCATACAACAAATTTCATAGATTAACATTCCAAACAATATTGGTATTTTGGTCATCTGGGGGAACCTCAATATTCTAGCTATGGGATTAAGTACTTTAAACAAGACATTATCTACAGGATTTCTGCATCAAAAATCTTTTTGATAGCACAAGAAAATACAAATCATATGTTAGGTCAGGGCATGATGAGTTATAAGGTTAGCTTAACATACATCGGTAGAGGGGGGAGGGGGTAGCAACTAGAAACTAATGATTTCCGATAGAAATGAAGGTCTAAATCTTTCATAACACATCACAAACCATCAGAAAAAACAGTCTGCATGTCTAAATACAAGGATGACCAAAACTTAAAATTTACCCAATACGTACAGGTATAGCCTATCAAATCTAAACATCAAAATACTTATTGTAGCTAAAGTAAATTTTTATCCATTAATGAATATACATAAATGATATATCCCAGTAGTTCATTAGTGAATCAAAACAATAACTATGCTGTCATGCTAACTAGCACCAGGCATTCTCAAAATGAAGTCCAAACAATGTCATTACAGTACTTCTAAATTTACTCGATCTTCATCTAGTAAGGATATACTCTGGGGAGGAGGGGCAGAAGAAAGTCTACCAGGTAAGAATACATGACAGCCAAGTTGGTGTGAACATGGGAGTTTTTTATGTCCAAAAGAACAAGAATGGAGGAAACTACAGCAGGTCTATTGGCCCATACTGGGCAGTCCCATTTATGCCCAACAAACTATGTTTGAAGCTGCTCTTCAGGATACATTTCTTCACTTCACATTTGTCCATGACTTAGACCATCCTTTCTACTCTCTCCGATTGCAGTGATGAGTTTGAAACTAACGACATCACTGCAAATGGCAGCCCCATATCTAGAGAAATGATCTTTTCGACTATTATAGCAGGACTTTACTTTAATTACAAATTATACATACCGGATCACTCTACGAACATGGCAGAGTGTAATTCTTGTGTTTACCCAGAACTCAATTCATCCATTGCACAGCAAGTACATACTGTATATATAATGTCAGTATTCTTACCATGAGGTTGCCTCTGATGGTAAGGGAACCAGTAAAGATGACATCATTTATTATGTCCCCGCTGGAAAACACCACCAAGTCTGACACCCGCACTCCACCCAGAAATCCTGCAGAAGGAAAGTTTTATTTCTTTTTTATTGCTTATCTTGCAAGTTTAGACAATTTCAGTTCAAATTCTAATACTGCACTGTCCCAAGACATTCATTCCAAGACACCACAGCCCCACCATAGCTAGTAAGAGAACATGCGCACATAGGTTGTGGAGTGTGAAGACTTGCCGGATTCATAAAAAACGAAATGCATGGAACTACAACTTGGGCAGAGAACTCTTAATAATGATCACCAAAATTACCTTGGAGACTACTCTTATCAGCAGCATGTTACATCAGAAATAAGAGAAAATGGCAACATTAGTTGGAACAAAACTGTGTAATGGAAAGCAACAGTTGTCTTAGGCCACCAAAGTCTAGGCCCCCCCCCCAAAAAAAAATAAGAGCAATAAGCCAAACATCCACTAAAACAGGGAAATAGTGAATTAGGGAAATTAGTGACTTGACTAGTGCACCATCAGGTTGCTACAGTGCCAACAGAATATCAAGATACAAATTTTAAGTGTACAGGAATTACAATAATGCATAGTGATGGTGTGGTGAGGTACACAACTACTCCTGGATACTGTAGAAAAGGAGAAAGATCTTGGTTAGGTCATTCACTGATGGATGTGCAACAAGTGGGAGCTCCTTAACTGTATAAATAATTCTGAATTTCTGTATAATCTTACACCATTATCAGTAACACCACCCACCCAACCTCCTTGACGTCGTCCACCTACCTTCTAGTCAAGACCACCTGTACCACCACCCTCACCATTATCCAGATCACCACCACCCTCACCATTATCCGTATCACCACCACCCTCACCATTATCCGTATCACCACCACCCTCACCATTATCCCTATCACCACCACCCTCACCATTATCCCTATCACCACCACCCTCACCATTATCCCTATCACCACCACCCTCACCATTATCCCTATCACCACCACCCTCACCATTATCAAATATCACCACCACCCCTCACCGTATCCATTATCACCACCACCCTCACCATTATCAAGTATCACCACCACCCTCACCATTATCCAAGTATCACCACCCTCCTGCATTATCCGTATCACCACCACCTCACCATTATCCGTATCACCACACCACCATTATCTCACCACCACCCTCACCATTATCCCTACTCACCACCACCCTCACCATTATCCCTATCACCACCACCCTCACCATTATCCCTATCACCACCACCCTCACCATTATCCCTATCACCACCACCCTCACCATTATCCCTATCACCACCACCCTCACCATTATCCCTATCACCACCACCCTCACCATTATCAGTATAAAGACTGTATCCTCACCAGTCACCACAAGATGGTGTGTGTGGAAGCCATGGATGAAGGTCTTGCGGCCTGTGATGATGAAGGTCCCACCTGTAGCCAGGACTGCTCTAGCTGCTATATCAGACACATCTACCCCATTCACCAGCACTCCTCCAGTACCACCAATACCAGACAAGGCTGTTATCACCGTCAGGCTACCCACTGATAATGTCTTCGTGAAGTCCAAGTTGCACTTTATTACCTAAAAATTTATCAATTTACTAGGACAAAACTTTAATTATAAAAAATTGCCTTCCATCCTGTTCATTTCTTATACTGTGCATGTATTTCACACATTTGTACATTGAAACTTGTTATTTTATAACTTATTTACTAATACCAAGTTGTATTACAGTACTGTAGCTTACTGACCGTGTCTACATTGTCGAGGACAGACAGCCTGAAAAGTGCATCAATGTCCACACCATCGATCATTTCCACATGAAGTTGCTGTATGTCTACATCACGAAGGAACTCTACTTCCCCTGTGAATGTTAAAAATTCAGTTACTCATTTAGCATCCATTCAGGATTTATCACTTGACTGATTTTCCACATTTTCTACACTGATAATTTAAAACAATTTACCAACCAGTAATTTCCTGATCAGATGATTTCAGGACGAGTGTGGCGAGGAAGTGCATTATATCCATATTAATGGAATCGGCAAGGATGGATCCACTGGCGGTTGCACTGCCAGTTATTGTCAATTTCCCAATCACCACTGGTAAGTTCAGGCTCGTACCACCTTTCTCACTTTTCCATATTGCATGTTCATTTGCCTGCAGTCATTACATATTGTTGAAACAAGGTACATTTACACTATTCTATCCAGAGAATGTTGAACATTCTTTTCTAATATTCAGAATCTTATAATTAGTTACCATATATGTTATACTGAAATAAAAGATAAAAACTTTTCTATGGAATACACAACCCACCTTAAGTACATCACAGCCATCCAAGACTCCTGTAGTACTGTTGAGTCCTCCAAGGAAGGTTACATTGTTAGCGAATGTGACCGTGCCTCCCACGTACCCAACTTCATTTATCAGCAAGAGGTCAGTCACATCAATGCCATCTATGATGTCAGCTGACACATCAACTGAAAGAGAGAGACTTTATTGGAATAGTCACTGCACATGGCAATAGTGTACAATACTACTGGTAATTCCCAGACAGCTGGTGCAACTTTAAGTTTCCAATGAAAGTAAAGATTTCTAAATGTCATGTTAGTGGGTGGGCCTAAACCAGAATGGGGTTTCAGCTACCTATACCTTCCATAGATTATTATTTTTTCTTAACAGTAATCTTTTTGTTTCTGCTTTCTCTGTTCTGACAGAATAATCCAAGGAATCTTAAACTTCCTAAACAATTAATGGTCCGCTGGATGCCCTTCTTATTGCCAACCAACTTTTACGAAGAGGGAACGGGGTAAGACATACAGGACTTCCAAGTGCCCTTTAGTTGCTCCCTGTGAGTTATAAGTAATCCTAGAAGATTAGCTACCCACTTTTAACAACTCTGGTTGGACCTGGAGACCAAGCTGCAGACAGCTGCTCCCAAAACTGTCCATTAACCGATGTGTTCAAGTCCAGAATTCCAATAGCCAGAATTTAAATTCTTTTACCCCAAAAATGCATTGTGTGGGAAAAAATTTCCAAGGGGTGCATTTTCTAGAAAATTAAGAAAATTTTCCAGATACCAGGGAAAATCTGGGTACGAGATATTTGGGGGGTTAGAGGTAAAAATCAGGGGCATTTTCCAAAAATTAGGGAAAACTATGGGGATGGATTTTTCTGGAAAATTCCAAGAAAAATTCCAGTACCCGGATAAATTCCGAGGATTGGGGATTTTTTTTCAGGTTCACGAGAGGTAAGGCGCAATTTCCGGAGCACCAGAGAAAAGTTTCCCGGTACACATCTTTTTCACACAAGTGCGCTGCCCCAATTGTTCTGGCTAATGGAGAGATCACTTTCACAGTCCGAGGGGAAAGTATAGAAGAAAATCTACAACTTAGGTTATTATTCAGTCAGGGATGTGGTTGACAAACTGGTTAGAACAGCCGAATATGCACGGCAATTAAGGAACAGTGGAATGCTTTTACACAAACCTACATCAACCAAGGTGTGTATACCAAGTAGGAGCTTCTCACTACAAACAAACAAGGAATGCATTATACCATTAGATAAAAGATGCATCAAATCATCAGAAAGACACACAGATGAAGGCAAATATTTTGAAGGCCTCCAGAAAAAGACCGTACAGCAAACAAAAATAAACTTTTAAGAAGTCCAGCTCTTAAAATTCTAATAAGGCATAAAGTAAGATTAATGTTAGCATAGTACAGGTGTGTCAAATGAGTCGGGGAAGAAACAGTGGTAGAGAGACCAAGAGAAAGTTTAAGAATGTCAGTTCCCCTCTCGTGTGTACAGCAAGAGAATAAAGCATCTTCCCAGCTTTGGCTAAAGTATACAGTAGGGTCGGGATATATAGACGATTTTGGTTATATCCGGCTACCAAAATTATCGACATTTTCCTCAAAGTATACACGGATAATTTTTTGTTATTATTCGTAAGGGAAATTGTGCAGAAATATTTCAAATTTATCAAAATTGTCCAATATACAGTAGACTCGCAACTTCCGCGAGGGTTACCCTCCCAAGACCTGTGCAAAGTCAGAAACCCTCCAAAATCACCCTTAAATCACTACATACAGTACATACACACGTACATACACTAGAACTCATAAATCACGACTGTAATGTGATAGTACAGGTGATCAATTTTTATCTCGTGCAAAAAAATACATAACTTTTATATTCAAATTATTAGCTGTCTTGCAAGAAGTCCAGCAAGGCAAATTATATTCTGCTAACTTTAGTCTGTGATATTATACAAGATAAAAACTTTAAGCCTAAAACCACCCAACCCTGGCTGGGAAGATATGGGGGGGATGTTTAACAGTTGGTGCCAAGGTCTAGTGCTTATTTATCTGTCCTTAACCTTTAAGCCCCAGGTTAGGGTGCTAGTGGCAGTAACCCCCACCCAGGGTTAAATCAAGAAAAATCAAATTTCCCAAAAATAATTTTTAACCTTTTAAAATGATAAAACAACAAAATAAGTAAAACTATATATTGACCTTCGAGAAATTTCTCTTGCCGCACAGAGAGAGGGAGGAGGGGGGGAAGGAGAGATAAGGAGACAAAGTTGGTTTGACAGCCGACGCTCATGGTCCCTCGGCACTTGGCAGATATTTTTAGCTCGCCGTTGTGTCCAAATTGGCCAATAATGTATGTATTTACAGATCTTAATACTTATTTGCTATAAATAATTCATTTACAATATTTTATTTGCATAATTTTCATAAAAAAGTGCTTGGCAACACTCGCCAGTCAGTCGCCAGTATGCCTGGCTGTGTTTGTTTTTGGTAGAGCAAGTAATGCATAAAATAATTCCACACAAAAACAATCATAGCAGTTTTACAGTAACACTACCCTACAATACAACTACACAACTTTTATCAACATTACAGTACGAGGTACTTTGATACAACATGATGAAATGGACAAACGATGAAAATGAAACAAACGGTAGGTAATTATGTTCAGGAAGTTTCCCTGTGGCCGAGCATGTGGTGTGAGGCAAATAGTCACACTGGAATCTGATAACCTAAGCTGGGCATTTAAACTGTGGTGGGAATAGGCACGCATTCTGGAACGTCACCCGGGGCCTAAGGGGTTAAGAGCGACTAAATTTCTTATAAAATGTCACTGAACTGACCTGGGAGAATAGAATTAACAGTACTGGAATTCTTGTAAGATAGTGACTAGTTTGAATATAAACATACTATAGTTTGCAATAGACATACAAATTTTAGTTTTAATTTAAAATTTTATTACAACGGGCTAGAATTTTTATCTTGTGCAAAATATTATGTCCGAATTCAAATTATTCGCCATCTTACAAGGATTCCAGCAATGCAGTTTATATTCTGCTAACTTTAGTCTTACCAGAAGTCAGAGAGAAGTTTATTTATTATGACAGCTGGGCCAGAACCAGACAAGGGTTACCTAGTGGTATTTATTTATGTCATAGGGGAAGTTTGTTTTTCTTATAAAATTTAAATAAATTGACTTGGAGAATATAATTAACATTGCTGGAATTCTTATAAGATAGGGATTAATTTGAAAATGAAAAACATGCTATAGTTCACAACAGACATTAAAACTTTAGTACTTAATTAGTACATAGGACAAAAAATTTCTCTTGTGCAAAATATATGAGGTCTATATTCAAATTATTCACCATCTTGCAAGGATTCCAGCAATGTAATTTATTTTCTGCTAACTTTAGACTGCCAGTTTATGTCAAGTTTAGTCACTTTTATTGGCCTCCAGAACCTAACCCTATATTCCCCATTCATTACATATTATAAATGGCAATTTAGTATACAGTATAGCAACATCCTTGGACCCTATCTCGTGATATATCTCGACCCTACTGTATATATAATGAAACCTGACTACCCAACAGTGAATGGCGTCACTGGCAATCCCTTTCCAAGGTTCCACAGGCCTGCCAACTGTTAATGGACTCCACACATGCATGTTGGATAGCTAACTATTCTGTGGGAAGATACTTCATTCTCAAACCTGTACAATATGCATGTTACAGTATTCTCCACTTGGATATGGTTATTCCCCCATTAAAACAATACAATGCAATACAGTACAGTATATACTTCATGAGGCTGTACAATGTACTTACTTGCATTGACACTGTTGCTGAAGGTGTAATGGCTAAACACAGTCTGTTCAGTTGACCTGCTGAGGATGCGCCGAGCCAAGTCGGCAACATTGATGCCATTTATTGTTACTGGATCAAAGTTTCCCCCAATTTTTAGAGCCTGATGGAATGTCTTGACACCTCTGATAATACCATTGTAATCTTGCAGAACCACCTGAAAAAAAATACATGAACTACCAGTACTGCATACTGTATAATATTGCTTAAATAGCTACATTGTCCTTGCTACTCTAAAATAATACTACAGTATATTCAAAATACAGGCATTCCTTGAACTACAGGCATTTGCATCAAGTTTTGATATACTGTATGTTAGAAAATATTACACATTGCCAAGATGCCCAGAATAAAATAATGTGGCAACAATAAATGCCTGAAGTAGCAAAGTAAAAACCAATTTTATCCACAAACCCCTCGAGTAAAATTTATATTCTCAATTTTTTGTTAGAGAGTGTACAAACTTATTACTATACAGGTACTCCTCGACTTACGACCACCCGGACATACAAAGCCGCAGTCGTACAATTTTTTTTCAAATTACGTATTTTCGAGTCCCGACGTTAGTGATCACGTGGTGTACAGACAAAATTTTTGTTTGTAATTTCCTTTAAAATGGCTGGCAAGTGTAAAAGCGAGAGTTCTCGTGGCGAGGAGAAGAAAAATACACGGATTTTAGATTTTTTATGTATTATTTTCGCATTTTTGACTTGCGACCTGGTTGTCCGTCCCTAACCCCATCATGAGTCGGGGACCGACTGTACTGTACAATGTCTGTCTTTGCTACTATTCATCATCCTCCTAGAATGTGATGTCAGGCACCTCAGGGGTCAATATAAAGTGAGAATGTTGAAGCAACAGAGGGGGGACACTTCACTCTTAGGATGGCTCATGCCTCAGCTTATTCACAAAGGTGTCCACAGCATCACAGACGCGCTCACCAAGGATAGCTTTGTTCACAATACCGTGCCTGTTCCAAAATCTGAACAACCATCCAGAGCTGGCCTTAAAATTCCAATGGCCAAGATGTTCAGCAAGATGTTCTGCGGCAGCTTGAATGTCGATACCCTGCACTGGTACACCCTTGGTGCATTGTTGTGTATCATGTGTACACAGCATCTAGGCCAACAAATGGCTGCCTTCTCTTACGAAACCCCTTTGCCTTAGACCCATATGTCAATCTTCTTTGCTATGACCGAGTTTATCCTTGGCATGAACATCATCATAGAAGGTGGACTTCTTGATCCCATACATTCGACTCCTCGCTCATACTCTTCCAACATCTCCAGCTTCACCTCCAATGACAGGTTCTTTTTTGGTGAGAGCACGAGATGTTGGAGTAGAAGCTATCAACACAAAAAGTGTGTAGTAAATCGCTAAAAGTTAGTGTAGCGAGGAGCAGCGCACTGGTGATGCACATGGCAGCGAGACTCTGACCGACGCACATACCACACACACGCATACCATTTAGACAGATTTGAGATTTTCCCGACTTTTTGTAAATTTTACGATATACTATAGAGGGGTGGTTAGAGCACCTTGGAAAGTAGAGAAAAGAGAATTGCGATATAATGACATTCGATTTATCGAGGTTCTACTGTATATTAAAAAATCTGCCTCATTTTTCTTCAGTAACACAAAGAACTTAAGTACAGTATTGGGTTACAAATTTGGTTTCATGGAAAATTTGTCCATAGGATGCTTCTTCAATTACAGTTATGTAATTGAAGTCTTGGAAGACAAGTTTATAGTCAAGAACATTCTTACAGCAAAGAATCGTTTTCATAATCCGTGGGATACAGGTACGCCACTGTTACCATTCATCAAATTACTTCTATATAAGGAGCCATTAAGGTACAGTATTCCAAGGTACTCTGCACCAGTAGTTACACCTCGGGCAACAGCACTTATTTCCTTGCCTTATAAATTTTAAGTTTATTCATTTAACATGCGTCAATTTATATTACGAGATGAGATTCCAATCTTAACATTTTACATTTGTGGAATGATCATTTAGTAAATTTTACAAAATACCAAATATATGAAAGACCTAAAAGATCTGGTCACTAATTTATTTAACTTTTAAAAGAAGCAATTTTCCTTCATAATGGGAGGATTAATTTATACATGGCAGTGATTTACAACACTGTATATACAGTATTAAAGTGTAAACAAATAATGGACTGTTCTAGTAGATTATGTACAGTTAACCCACACTTTACGCGGTCCCACATTCCGCGTTTCCACGTTTACGCTGTGCCCTGCCGGAACCCAGGATGCTCACATTCCGCGGTGCGTGTACCCCTTTACAGGGAGAGCAGCTGGCGAGCCGCGCCATTTTTGGATCCAAACCTCCCGCCATCCGCCATGTTGTGTAAGCTGCGCGAACATGGTGCGCACAAGGTCGCCCAGTCATCAAAACATTACCAGTTCTTCACCCGCCACCCACCACAGCCGGCCCAAGTCAGTGATAGTGATAATTATGGTGAGGATATGGACTTAAATGGACTTTGACAAAGAGGCCCTGCAAGCCTCTGTGGTGGATAGTAATACAATTGATACAAGTGACACAGGTGAGGACCGATAATCTGCCCTCTGCCTCGGAACCAACCGCCCATCCCCATGTGCCCAGCCATTTTTTCTCCTAATGTAAGTGTTAAAAAACCTAATATTATTGATATTTCTCTTAATTATTAATTGTGTGTGCATACCATCATAAAGTTAAGATAATATTTTTACTACAACATACAGTAGTTGTGTGTCGTCAAAAAGTGGAGTTTGGGGATCGGCCCGGACTCCATTTCAATTAATCCCATATGTTATGTTATTCACTGTACGCGTTTCTCACTTTACGCGGTACCCTCCGGGTTACATTAACCGCGTAAAGTGAGGGTTAACTGTACAAATCTTCAATTGCGTAAGTAGGAAATTTTAATAGGTTTCAAAACACATTCGTCAGCTTTTAAACATACAATATTGCAGAGCACTTACAAACTTTGCCATCATTGAAGTTTACTTCCCCATCTCTTTTCACCAGCATTTTAGCCAATAACTTACATTTGTTAGATGTGCAGTCCAGTCATTGTTGTTGACCATGTTAAGCGCAGGTCCCTGGCTGAAGTGGACGCTCTTCACTGTGATGCGTCCAGTCACCACTTGATTTACAGAGGACTTCTTGAGGGCTCGCTCTACTACAGAATTCAAGTTAATTCCATCCACAGTGCCACTGACACCCAGGTACTGAACTGAGGGAACATGATGCAAGTTAAGGAGGCAAATGCCAACTTGCTTAATGTTGCATTAAACATGGATACAGTATTTATCATTATGAAATACTGAATAGTAACCAATGAAGACTTTTAGAGGGAACTTAGTATAGTATACGAGATAGAAATGTCCTTCAGAAGAAAACCATTGTTATTCCTTGGACTAAGGCTTAGAGGTTACTGTATATGCAAGTCTTAGAAAAAAAAAAGGATTCTTACCATTTTCAGAATGTTCTATAAAGTTAGAAAACTGAACACGAATGAACTTCCCACTCAATAAGAATCAAAGCTGCCCAAATTATATATTCAGGTAAGTGGGAAAGCAGGAAACGGATATGCAATCGATTTCTTTTTTTAGCATTTAAAATCCCAAATGATTTAAAAGAATTTGATCTCGACAACCTGAGTCAAGCCATTTTTACCTCCCACACAAGTAATTCTATAGACAGTGGAGGCAAATTCACTTATGTACTGTACAACAAAAGTAGAAGTACCATTAACATCTCCAGTAAACTGGAGATCACCAATGACAGTGGAATTCTCATCATCTAGAACTAGTTGTGATGCTGCTGCTTCAACATCCATGCCATTAATAGTGTCCACCATCAGGTTACTGGATAAGGTTATACCGGTTACTACAACATCATTGCGGAACACCAGATGACCTGTGAAGAATACGAGACATGAATGAAGTCAAAATTCTTTGGGTAATGCATCACTAACATTCAATCTCACTAAAGACCATAGTAAAAACCCTTTTTGAACAAAACACTAAAGTCTATAGTACTATTAGAGCTGGAGCTGGGCCAAAATCATAAATTGTTCTGATCTTTGACCCCCCAGTAAAATGATCAAATAGAAATTCCATGAAAGTCCTGTAAAAATAGCCAAATATAATTATTCATTGGTTGAATTATGGGATAATCCAAAAACCCCAAAGGAGGCACTTATGGTCATTACCCAATAAAACTATCAAACAAATTCAATTTTGTGAAGAATATATGCATTTAGCAAAGTAGATTCCTACAAACTCTTATAAATCTACAGGTTAATAAACATCCAAACAAATACCTTTTAGGGGACTTGCCTTTACTCCTAAGATCTTTAATAAAAGTAAATATAAAACAATGTTACACTACAAGCTAGTCTACCAAAACTCAAATTAGATTGCCCAGAATACAAAGACTGATTTTTGGTTTGCAAGATGGTAAAAACTACCAACCTTTTGTGGCAAAACAAGGAGCATGACAAACCAAGCCATGATTATTACCTCTTCATTTCCAGTAGGGTCCTTTTGCCAACAGCATCTGTTCCCAAGCAGTCACCCATCCTAGTACAGTGCTGACCAGACTTAACTTTGCTTAATTCCACATATTGGATGAAAAGTGGCATTTTCAACAAGGTACTGGCCAGTTCCTTGTTCAAATTACAATAGTTTATGCTGATAAGACCATCATAAATAAAAAATCTCAAGGTTACCAGTATGGGAGAGCGCGTGATCCAGTAACATGAGGTCCGAAGGTATACGCAGTCCATTCAAGAGGCCAGTTAACACCAAGTCGCCAACAACCATAATCGAGCCACTGAAATTCTGAAATCATGGTGTAATGTACTCTATATTCATCACCATCTTTTAATGATGTCAATGTTTCCTAAAATTCTTAAATTTCCATTTTTTTTTTTTTTACTAGTTCACACATTTTCATTACACAAATACCTCCCTCCATAATGTAGAAGGATTCATAAATCCCTTTTTCTTTCACTATTCATACTACAGTACAGTAAAACCATTATCCAGCACTATAATCTTGCACATGTTGGAAACTAGCATATTCGATCTTTAACAAGAAACCAATCTATCTTTGTGGAAAGTACTATCATATTTTAGCTCCATGTGAATTCAGTATAATAAGTGATGTACACCAAGCAATCCATATACCTGCATTTGTTTGTCAATAAGGTACAAGAACACAGTGGCTGAATATCATAGCCAGTAAGGTGAACCAATTGATCCAAAAATTTATACCCAAGACCAAACCCAGTGCCTCCAGGAGTACAGCAATCTCTCCGTTAGCCAGAACAATTGGTGCAGAGCATTTCCGGGAAGGAGAGATTTCTGGGTAACGAGAAGACTCAAAGCCGAAAAAATCCCTCATCCCCGGAATTTTCCAAAACTTCCGGGTAACCGAAAGATGTTCTTGAAAGTTCCAGAAATTGCCCATTACATTATCTCTAGAACCCAGAAAAATATCCCCAATCCAGGAATTTTCAGAATTTTCCGGGTATCGGGTTAATTCTCTGAACTTCCCGGAAAATGTGCCTCTCGGAAAATCGTTCCCAAAGCCTGAATTTACAGGAATATTCCAGCTTTGGACACCATATTCCTAAAAATTTCAATTCTGGCTATCTGAGAGTTCCAGGTTTGAGGGATTCCAGCAACCGAGATATTACTGTACAAGGAGACCACTACACGAACCATGCAGAGGTCAACAAAGTTAAGAAAAATAAAAAATTAGAGATGTGGGTTAGGACAAACAATGAGCATGGCAGATCCAGGAACCAAGCACTGTCAAGGTGTAAAGGGCTGAAAGAGTTCAATAGGTAAATTGCAAGCGAGGTCAAGTCAAACTCGGAGTTATAAGGCTATAAAAAGTCTAAATTAAAAACACGCAGTGTATCAGACCTAAGGCTTGAAGAAGGTAGTACTGAAAATTCTGATCAGGACAAGGCAGAGGCATTGAAGTTTTTTCTTCAGTGTTTACAAGAGTATGTGAACATTCTTCCTGCGTTTGAGGACAGTTTGACAGCACTGACCCACATTGCATTTTCAGAAGAGGTTTCAAGAAAAATTGTCAAAGCTAAAGGTTCACAAGAGTCCTGGCCCTGACATGGTGCATCCCAGTGCCAAGAGAGTTGTGCAATGAGCTTGCAGAGTCCCTGGAGATCCTGCTCTGTAGATGCCTGGATGAGCAAAAAGACTCGAGTGATTGGAAAAGGGCATATGCAAGTCCCATTTTCAAGAAGGGAGTCACTCCACTAATAATTATAGACCAGTGAGCCTGAACCAGCATAGTATGTAATTTGAGCATTATAAGAGATGCCATGATGGAACATTACAAAACAACCTAGTAAAGGATCGCCAACACTTATGTCGGGACGCTCAGGTTTAGCACAATTACTCAAGGTACTGGCTGTTTGGATCCAAACATATTGACAAACAGTCTACCCCATGAAGTGCTGAAAATTAAACTGGAGGGGGCATGGCATTCAAGGAAGTGTCAGAGCGTGGATCTGAGACTTTCTGTACGATCGCACAGTGCGTGGTGATTAATGGTACAAAACCGTCATGTGTACCCATGACAAGCAGGGTACCACATGTATTGGGCTCAGTTTCATAAACGACATGCCAGAAGCTCTAGACGCCATACAAATGTTTGCAGAACTAAGCTTCAAGAATGGTCAAAGAAAAAGCTGCTATGATTCAATGTCACAAAGTGTAAGATGATAAATCTGGGACGTACCAACAGGAAGGTGGCGTATCTTATGTCCCAACGGGACAAAGAAACTGCATTAATAGAGACCAGATGCAAAAAGGACCTGGGTGTGTATGTTGACAATGAACTGAAATTCTCAGGCCATTTTAAGAAGAATCGATCAACTAAATTTTTAGGTCTTACAAGAGAGGTGCTTCCCCACCTGGTTCCCGAGATATGCTTAGGACAGTTTATTGAAAATGTCCAAACGAGGTCCACCATACTGGTGTCTGAACTTCAGCACCTCCACTATCCAGAGATTAGAGCACTTGCAACTGCCCAGCTTACACTAAAGACAAGCAAGGAGAGGGCGGGGACCTAATTGAGATGTATAAACATTTCAAAGGGCACTACTCGGTCGAGTGTCCTTACCTGGAGCTGGCAGATGCCTGCCCCCACAAGGGGTCATGGCTCAAGGTTGTAGAAGCCACAAGCCCAGAAAACTGTGAAGGCAAACTTTGAGTGAAAATTGCCAACGCTTGAAACAACCTGCCAGTGTGTGCTGTGACGACACTCAGTGCGAGCGGCTTCAAGACCAGATTTGACCAGTACTGGAGCAGGTTCAGATACATTCAGGATTCCGTGCAAGCCCAAGCAGCTAGCGAGCCAATCAGTGGTGAAGAGGATAAAAGAAAGGAGTAAAAGTACACTGTATTGTAACTGCTGCATTACCCTGGGTAGAGGAACTTACCTGGCACCTCCCATCCACCCTCCTCAAGTTAGAAGTTTTTACTGTATATTTTGCCTACTTGTGACAACTCATTTCTGATGTGACCAGTACAGTACTGTATGCTAATTTACCAATTTATACAAATAACTTAAAATTAACCCATTCACCGAGACGTCATTAATTACTCGGCATATCCTGTGTGATATTTGATAATTTTTTTTTATAGTATACAAGTACTGTAATGCTTTTTTTTGCCGTGTTCAACTATATACTCTATTCAACTTCGTAGAAAATTAAGTACGTACTTATAAAAGTCATTTTTACCCCTCGGACACACTCGCCAATTTTAAACCACATGATCGTATATGATACAACCGCAGCGATCTGGAAAAGTTTACTGTATCACACATAATACAGGTACTCCCTGGCTTATGACGGGGTTAGGGACCGACATCCAGGTCGTAAGTCGAAATGGTTGGAAGTCGGAAATGCTTAAACATTGAAAATAGAAAATTTGGGTCTTTCTTTTCAGCACCACAAAACTCACTTTTAATCTTGCCAGCCACTTTAAAGTGAATTACAGATGAATATTTTGTCTGTACTGACTTTGGGACTCAAAATACATAATTTTACCACATTTTGGTACACTGAGGCGGTTGTAAGTGCGGGTGGACGCAAGTCGAGTCCGTCGTAAGTTGGGGACTACCTGTACAGACGCAGCAAAAGTGTAAAATGAATGAAACTAAAATATTACACAATTAACCAAAGTAATACTAACCAACGTAAACATGGATGTCAATGTGCGAAGCACAACATGCATCCATACACAATTGCAGTAAAAAAATCCTCCATGAAACAATATAGGAGGCATCTAGCATAGCACAGATGAACTAACCAAATCAGTTTTGAGTAAACGAGACCCAAAGTTTTACAACTACGTACTATATACTACAGATCGGCACTCTTTCTCCCCAAACCACACCTATGTTTTCATGACAAGATCAAAAGATAAAGCCTGGGAAATATTAACACTATAGAGAACAGTTTTTGAAATGGGTGGGAGTTCACCTATGCTATGCTAGATGCCTCATATGACCTCACGGATGAAGGATTCAACTCTTCCGAGACAACACTCATCATATTGACTTTCGAAATTCATCATGCCCATCTAGACATACTTTTTCCCATGTGTACATGTACAGTATTACCCCGCCTAACGCTGTTTCACTTAACGCGTTTTATCATATACACGGTGCCTCGCCAGAGCTGAACTTTCACTTAACACGGATTTTTTCCACATATACGCGGTGAGTGTCCGGCTCGAGAAGCTATTTTTAGATTTGCCCCACCCTGCCTGACTGCCTGTTTTAGCTCATAAAATTCATACAAATTACCGGGCCAGAATATAATTTACATTGCTGGAATTCTTATAATCTGGTGATCATTTTGAATATAAACATCATATTTTTGCATTAGACATACAAATTTTAGATAAAAATTTTTCTCAAATTAACTATGTTATCTTTTGTGCAAAATATATGACATTTATATTCAAAATATTCCTGGTCTTACAAGGAATCCAGCAATGTCAATTATATTATCCTAACTTTAGTTTGAGGTATTATTTATTAAAATTTAGTGGTTATCCCACACATCTCCTTGGGACAGTTGGTGGGGGGTGGGGTGGGGGAGGGAGGGACCGACTGACCATCTGTTACCCTGTGAAGAATTATTTTTTTTTTATTAACTGAAGATATTTGTTTTAGCTCATAAAATTCATACAAATTATCAGGTCTGAATATAATTTACATTGCTGGAATTCTTATAATTTGATGATCATTTTGAATATAAACATCATATTTTTGCATTAGACATACAAATTTTAGATAAAAATTTTTCTCAAATTAACTGTTATCTTTTGTGCAAAATATATGACTTTTATATTCAAAATATTCCTGGTCTTACAGTGAATCCAGCAATGTCAATTATATTATCCTAACTTTAATCGGAGGTATTATTTAATACTAAATGTTAAAAACCCTGGAAGGGAGGATTGGTGGGGGGGAGGGTTGGGACTGACAGCACGGTTGGAAGAGGGGGGGAGGCAAGGTGGGGTACTTTGATTGACAGATAGTGTTGTGAAGATTATTTTTTTTTTTTTTATTAACTGAAGATATTTGTTTTAGCTCATAAAATTCATACAAATTACCCGGTCAGAATATAATTTACATTGCTGGAATTCTTATAATTTGGTGATCATTTTGAATATAAACATATATTTTTCATTAAACATACAAATTTTAGATAAAAAATTTTCTCTAGGTAACTATGTTATCTTTTGTGCAAAATATATGACATTTATATTCAAAATATTTCTGGTCTTACAAG